ACTCTGCACACAGACCTGCCAGCCCCATTTGTCACGGTGGGCCCCCTAAATTAGCTTGGTGATGGCAGAGCCACCTGTGTTTGTTTGGTAATTGCCTTTATCCAAAGAGGAAATGTGCTCCTGTCTGTGTTTGCCATTTGCAGCCAGGGCCACCCTCTTTGGCGACTGACTTCATCTACAAGCTGCCTTCTCCCCAGCCCTAAGGCTCTGCACCAGCCAAAAAGCTTAGTTAGCTTGAAAAATGATTTACACATCTCAAATGGAAAAGCTCACGATTGCGCAAACCAAAGCGGATAAGGTGGTAGAGTGGGGAGTCTCCCTTTTTGCACCAGGAAGAATAAAATATCTTTCTGTGGTGCATGGTGACTCATGCCTGTAATTCCAGCTACTCGGAGTCATGAGATTCAGCAAACCATGCGTTTGAAGCCAGCCAGGGCAAATTGTTAACGAGATCCTATCTCAGCCAATAAAGCCGATAAAGCCGGGCACCATAGTACATGCCTGTGATCCTAGCTATGTGGGAGGAATAAAACAAGAAGATCATAGTCCAGGCTGACATGTGGAAAAATACGAGACCCTATTTATAAAATAATTAAAGCAAAAAGGATGGGAGTCCGGCTCAAGTGGTAGAGGCACTGAATTCTAATCCCGGTAACCACAAATTTATCTTTCTTATTTTTTAGGTTGTATTTGTCCTGCATTACTGGTGAGCCTGGATGGATGCATGCCGGACCCTGTTAGGTGGGGACAGGAGACAGATGGTGGCAGAGATGGGAGGTGACAGTGGAAGGACTTCTTCCACCTGCTTGCGCTCCAGTCAGCCAGTATGCAGCTGTGTGGCCTTGGGTGAGGCTTTTAGCGTCTCTGAGTCTCACTTGCTTCCTAGGTAAATGTAGCACCCCAGACCATGTTATCTAGTCTGACACAAAATAAAGACTTTTCACAGGGCACAGGTAAAACTAGAGGAGGGTTCTCTATTCTTCTGGAACCACCACACTGGACATGTTCTGTTGGAAACACATGAGTCTCTCGTGTCAGACATGCGAGAGACTAAGGAGATCCCATCAAAGCAACTCACTTCTGCACAGAAATGTGCGCAGCCACCTGCCCTAAAGCTGGGCAGCTGCCCTGGTCAGACGCCTGCTGGTTTTTTTTTCTTTTTTTGGGGGGCCCGGTCATGGGGCCTGAACTCTGGGCTTGGGGCGCTGTCCCTCAGCTCTTCAGCTCAAGGCTAGCGCTCTACCACTTGAGCCACAGCGCCACTTCCGGCTTTTTTCTTTTTGCTTATGTGGTGCTGAGGAATCGAACCCAGGGCCTCATGCATGCAAGGCAAGCGCTCTACCACTGAGCCACCTTCCCAGCCCCATCCTGCTGGGTTTTAATACCATGCCAACCTGTCCCTCCTCCTTATCTGCAGTGGTTACCAGGACGATGGAGCAACACAAGGAAGTCCGAAAGAGCTGCAACCGCAGTGAGAAGTTCCCCCTCAGAGGGGTCCTCTCTCGTCATGGCTGGCAGAAGCAGGGCTAGGCATGGGGCAGCTGCAGTTGGAGGAGATTAGTCAGGTCATGGAAAGTTCCCACTGTGTGTAGGGGGTCTGTTTCTCTAATTCCATTGGTAAGGACTCATACCCTGGACGTGGCTGGCTGGTTACAAACAACACAGATAATAGTTATGATGGAAGTCAAGAAGCAAATAATTCCAGGAAATATCAGTACAGAATGGTGACTTGTTACATGACGGAGACACTGTAGTGTGGCAGAAAAAGATTGCTTTTATGCATAGCTCCACAATATGCTGTCCCCGGCAGACTGTATGAGCCAACACAGATTTTTCATGTTTATAAATTTAAATTTTATAGAAGTAGCAAGAGTATATATTTAACCTGTAAATAAAAGCTCCACTGTGAAAGGTAAAATATGATCTGAACACATGGAGAGACATGAATCTTTATTCTCATCAAAAACAAACAAGGTTTTAAAAATACTGACATGAGCAGTGGCTCATTCACGCTTTTAATGCTAGCTACTTAAGAAGCTGCAATATGAGGATCACAATCCCAAGTCAGTTCTGGAAGAAAGGCCTTTGAGACCTATCTCCTATTAACTAGCAAAAGAGCTGGACTAGGTGGAACCTGAATAGCAAATGCCATTTGTGTGTAGGAAATGCATGCAAGAGCCTGAGGTACTGTTCCAGCCTCAGTAATAGGAATGTGTGTGTGTGTGTGTGTGTGTATACACACACACACATACATATATGTGTGTGTATATATATGTATACATGTATATATACACACACACACATATACATTATACATATTTACTGACAAAAATTCTAAAGTTCATCTGGAAGAATAAATGAGTGATTCTATGTAAGGAGTTAAAACTTGCTTTTGCAGTGTGGGGTTGGGAAAGATCGGGGGATGGTGAAAGGGGTGACATCGATGGACATGCAGTGGACTCACAAGTTCAAGTTGAAATTCCCTATACAAACAGTTAAAGATAATACAGGTCTTCTTCTTGGGGGAAAAACTACAAACAGAAACTAACCTAGATGCGGAGCTGGCCGCTTTAAATAGAAATCTGAAGGCCCAACACCATAAAAAGAAGACTGGCAGGTTTTAGCCCATAAAACCAAAATGTCCTAACTTTCCCTCAAAACTTAAGCACTTGTCGGACACAGAGGTGTGTGCCTGTAATCCTACTTACCTAACTACTTAGGAGGTCAAGGCAGGAAGACCAAGAGTGAGAGGCTGGCCTGGGCCACGTAGTTAGCCTATCTCCCTCTCAAAAACAAAGCAAAAAAAAAAGTTTAAAGAATTTTAGGGGGCTGGGAAGGTGGCTCAGTGGTAGAATGCTTGCCTTGCAGGCATGAGGCCCTGGGTTCGATTCCTCAGCACCACATACGCAGAAAAAGCCAGAAGTGGTGCTGTGGCTCAAGTGGTAGAGCACTAGCCTTGAGCTGAAGAGCTGAGGAACAGCGCCCAGGCCCAGAATTCAGGCCCCATGACCAAAAAGAAAAAAGAAAAGAATTGTACAAAGTTTAAAGTTTTTCTGAGGAAAGCCAATTACAACATACATGGAAAGTTATCAGGGTTACTCTATGCAATAAAACCAACTTCTCAACTTTTAAAATGAGTAAACAGAAAAACGGCCAAAGGGATATGAACAATTCTCAAGATATAACACAATGACAAGATATGACATGATGGTAATAAATAGTTGAAAAGAGCTATTCGATTAGTAATGTAAGAAACACAAAGCAAAACAATGAGAGTCATTTTAAATTTGAAAAAAAATAGCCCAAGTTATCAAGGAACTAGAAAAATGGCCATTTCTTAGAGCAAACTAACACATCTCCCTGGAAAATCACTGTAAATGTTTAAAATACAACTTCTTTTTAACCCCTCAGTCAATAACTAGGATATAGAGAAAGGATATAGAGAACTGGGAGATTAATAAACAATCGTGTGCACTCGTGCAACTATGAATAACCCTGGTGTGGGGCCGGGTGCGGTGGTGCCTGCCTGTCACCCGAGCAGGTGGGGGACCAGGCGGGAGGAATGAGTTCGAGGTCAGCCTGAGCTGCCCAGGGAGCCAGTGTTTCAAGAGCATTTTTAAAAAGTTGTTATGAAAACAGATCGAATGAACTGGAAGAACGCGCGGGATGGCGTGTGGTGAGGAGGAAGGGCAGCGTTCCTCGCGGGCACTCGCTCCCCGACGCCCCGGGCAGGCTGCGCGGTCCCAGGCAGGGCTGCTCGGGGTGCGAGTCCCGGGGCCCTCGCGGCGCCCGCTTCCTGTTTACGCGGCAGACTTTTAAAGAGCGTTTTCAAGAGAACCGTACCAGTCCACGCTGCTCGTGCTGAAGGCACCGAGGGCTTGGAAAGCCACGGCCACCTGCTCGCGGCGAGCCCGGGGCCGGCCCGCACCTGCCCCCGGCCCGAGGCCCC